GATGCTTTGACGCCAGCCGGGGTGGGTGATGACGACACTGAACAAACATGTTTTCCCTCCCTCTTGGTTCAGCATATTTCAGAACTTACCACCAGCCTGACATCCCGCATCTCTTACCTCCACACTTTGTCCTTGTTAGAAAAACGTGTGAGATGAGGAAAGACCTTGATGCCTCACCTTGGATTTGTCTTGAGTAAAGGGGGCTTCATCAACAAAAATACTTGAAAATGTGTCTTTGGCACCCCGGAAGCTTTATTCTCCAAGCCAGTGTGCCATAGTAAGATTCTGGATGTGAGAGAAGCATGCGGTTATGTGTCAGGAAAGTCTGCACGTGGAAGTTGTTGAAGTTCTAGAAGTTGATGCCCTTAGAACATCTGCTCCTCCCCTCAGTGACACGTTTCCTGGAGTCTTCATAGCTCAGTGTATTATTCAAGGACTCCTGGACCAAATGACCTCCAGGGGCTCTTGAACTCTGAGATTCTACGCTGTTATGATTAATGAGGCTCTTTTATTTTTGGGAAGCAAACACACACACACTTGTTATAACTACGACTGCCCGACTCAAGCATGTCCAATCAACCTTGGGTCTTTTTTTTAACAAATGAAAGAACCATCTTTCTGAAAAAGGGCCACCTGTTCAATTAGCTGTGGGGATAATTGGATAAGTAGATACACTTACTGGAAACAGTGGGTACATAATTACAGCGAGAAAGATTTTAACCTCTCTGAATGAGCAGCTGGAGAAATAAACAAAGCAAAACCTCCGAAACTGTTTTCAAAGTGTGATGTTTTGGGGGAAAATTCCGTGGTTAGCCCAGTTGATGCCACCAACTCTCAAAGCACAGGTGTGCCCCTGAAGTCACTGCAGCCACTCACAGCAGCAACAGATGACATCACCACCGGAGAACAGATCAGATCACTCAGGGGTGGGGAACCTTTTTCTGCCAAGGGCCACTTGGAGATTTATAACATCGTTCATGGGCCATACAAAATTATCAGTGTGTAAACTAAGCCTGCTCTATGTGGTCAGGCTCCTTTGGTGAGGTGTGGGATGTTCGCTGGTATTGATTTTGAGGGCCTTATCCAGCCCAAGGGCCAGGCCTTCCCCACCCCTGCGTTAGACAACAATAGAATCGTTAATAACAATAAGTATAATAGCCTTAGAACATAACGAACTTGATGGATACATCCATGTGCCAATTATTTCCATATTTAATTATGATACGTGTACTAACAGATCTCAGTGAGTAAAGGGATTAATGCCCTATGCAGTATTTTGAAAATATTTTCATGCAGAAGTCAACCAAAAGACAACATAGTAAGAATCTCTTGCAAGTTATAGCACAAAGAGTATACATTAGAGCATCCATGGCAGTTTTCATTTCACAAGAACTGGTCATTTATTCCCAATAAAAATAAGCATAACTTCATGCCCTAAAATTGAAAGCTAAGCAGGTTTTTAAAATTTGGTTCAGTGAGTTAATTCTGATTTTATATGAAATAGACAAATGTACAACTTAGTAATTTCAAATAATATTTTTGGTTTCATACAAAGCAAAGATTATACTCATGATTATATAAAACACACCTAGATTTGGAACCATGCAAACCTTGGTTTGATTTGACTCTGCCACGCTGGCCACATAATTTATTTCTTTGAGACTTGGTTTCCTCATCTCAAAATAAGATCAACCTCAGAGAGTTTATTTGAAATTTAAAACAGATAATATAGGTGAAACCTTCTGGCATATCGTAGGTTCTCAGTAAAGGTTAGTTTTATTTCTCTTCTCCCTCCTCAGTGTTTTTATTAGAAGCTGATTTATGACAAATATAGGTTCCCTGCGCAAAAGCATGAAAAATGAAAAGCAGAAACCGGGCTCAGGTATTTCTGCATTTCTGTGAATAAAGCAAGGTGTCTGACTAGAGAGGAAGCAATGTCTGGGTGGTAGAATTATAATTTTTATCTTTTTATTTCATTGTATCTTCTAACTGAGCTAAAATGAGTATGCATAACCATTGCAGAAGAAACATTTAAAAATTTAATGAATGGTGCGTAACATAATCCTTGAGTTGATACGTGAAAAGTTATGATTACTATAACCCGAAGTTTACCCTTGTTCCCTGGGGCATTGTATATTACTAAATTAGTTCACGATAAAGAGACCTGATAGCTCAAGAATTGTTCACTGCCATGATTATGGACATCAAGGAAAAAAAGAGAGGGTGTAAAGTTGTAAATAATGCATTTTTTAAGCCTCTCAGACACCCTGTACCTTGTTCTGTGTGGCTGCACCCTCACTGGTGTCCCCAGGCTCCCCACGCTGCTGCGCGTGAATGTCCCTAAAGCAGCGGCTTCATGTCGCCTTCAGCCTGACTGGAACCTCTAATGAGTCTCCATTTCGGGGTAGCTGTCCCTTGCAGCTGATGGTGCAGGCTGCAGCAGTCCAGGTAGAAATGATCGCTGCAATTACTAGTAAAATACTCCCCTCAAACCTCATGTTCATCTGTCCGTGTGAGTTTGTTGTGAATCGCTTTGGACCCTAATGGCCGTGAACTGGATGTCCACTGTGCTCATCCATGATCACAAGGCATGTTCCTCAGTAACCTTGAATTCCATTTCTCCTGCTCTCTCTCTCTCTCACACACACACACACACACACACACACACACACACACAGGAACAAGGAAGTGTCTTGGTGGAATGAAGTACAATTTACTCCTATGCAGTCTACATTAAGTACCTCCTAAAGCATGCCGTACACTATGTGCACAGTAACATGCTAGTAGGTATACGCATCTTCAGGAACAAGGGTGAAATAACAGTCTTGGATAGGGTTGCAGATACAAATGGCAAAAAGTCACTACCATGGAGTGTGAAGATCAGATTCTTTAACCTGACGTCAAGGCCCTCCACACGCCGATGTCGTTCTCCTTTGCAGCCTCATTCCCAGTCCTCCGTGACAGACCCGCTGAGGTTCCAGTCATTCAGAACCCACGGAGAGCCCAGCACTTTGTATACTGTCATCCTCACAACAGACCTCGATTGCATTTTTACCTTCCCCATTTTACAGATGACAGTTAGTACCTTCCTTCTGGTCACACGGCCAGTCAGGGAGAGAGCAAGGATTTAGACCCGGGTTTGCCTGACTCCAAAACCCGTTTTCTTCAGTTCTTTTCTAGCCAATTGGATCTCTCTGCTCAGCATCGTCCTAACGCGGACCACGTTTCGAGTCGTGTCCTTCAGAGTTCACCTAGAACTGAACTCACCCATGAAGTCCCCCAACCTCCAGCCTCCAGTGCTGTCACCAGCCCCTGAGCCTTAATCATGTCACTTTAGGTTGTCATTTAATTTATCAGTTCGTAGGGCCTGTCTTCCCAACGAGGTAACTAGTTACTTAATGGCAGGAGCCGTGGAAGCCAGAGCAGACGATCTCTCCGACTCTGCTCTTTGGATTCCACCCCCTCCCCCGCCTACGTACCGTTCTGTGTCCCTGATAGACGCTTGGAAAGGAACTCCGTGGTACAGTTATAACTCGTCATAGAGGGCTGTCCAGAGTCATTAAGTTAAGATCGTTCACAAGTCTCTGATTGGAAATTAAGTCTTCTGAATTTTGAGTTAACACTTTCTCTGGAGGCTATGATGTAATCGACATTGTATAATGTTATATAATAGCTGAAATAATGATCAGGTTAATGTTTAAAAAGGAAACTTAGTGGTAAGTCAATTTGGGGACTTTAAATAGCCTGAATTAATAGAGGATCATTTGCCCAGTTTCACCTGTTCCTTAGCCTGCATGGATCCTTTCTGAATGAGAGACAGTGTGGTTTTATTTACATTCAAGGAAAATTACAAAACCTCCTCTATCACCAACCCCTCCGAGTAACTGAGAAAAAGCCTTAGCAAGGAGGGAAGGGGAACAGCACAGAGGACTGGGATCTGTTCCCTAAAACCAGGCCTTGCTGCCCTGGCTGGTTTGGCTTAGCGGTTAGAGTGTCGGCCTGCAGTCCAGAGAGACCCGGGTTCGATTCCCGCTAAGGGCACGTACCTCGGTTGCAGTTTGTCCCCGGCCCTGGTTGGGTCATGCGGGAGGCAGCTACTCGATGTGTCCCTTTCACATCGATGTTTCTCTCTCTCTCTCTCTCTCTCTCTCTCTCTCCCTCCCTCCATCCCTCCCACTCTATCTGAGCAAAAAATGGAAAATGTCCTCGGATGAGGATTTAAAAATAAATAAATAAATAACCAGGCCTTGCTGAGGAGGAGAGATGGTCTCCAAGAGGTGGCAGAGATTCCAGAAGCAGGGTCTTTGTTCCTACAGGTTGAAGGTCACTGGGAGGGATAATTCCCAGTGTGCCTGCTAAGGCTAAAAATGAATTTGAGGGGAGGGTCAAAAGAAAGAGGAAAAGTTGTAGCAGCCTCCATCACAAACTTTGTAAGAACTGAAACGTCACCCTCCTTCTCTTCCCCGGGTCTTCCCACCACCCCTTGTCTATGTCCCTTCCAGCATCTGATTTTTATTTTCATTCCATCTAATAGTTGAACTGGAACTACTTGAATCAGTGCCATTGATTGGTTCTGTTGTTTGTTTAAGGATTGATTTGAAAATCTCCATAATCCATTCCGCCTTAATTTACACTTCAGTATGTTTAGAATGACTGATAACTACCAGACTTAATCTCTTTCAAGAAATAACAAGACATTATCATTTGCAAGATAATTATGTTTTAAGTGATCGAGAAAACCTGTTGGTGTGAAAACAGTTTCAGTAATCGGTATACCTTGGGGGAAGCCAAAGGATTTTGACTTAAATATCTTGAAGAATGTGTTAGTTGAACTAACAAGGTCTAACGAAAATAACTTTTAAAGTGAAAATTATATGAGTTTTTTCATTGATGCGAGGAAGACAAAACGTCTGCGCATCTAGCTCAAAGAACTTTTTGAAAGGAAGGCTGTTTTGGTTTTCGTTTTAATCTCTTGTTCTTCAATGGATCTCTTAATTCAGGAAAATTAGGTGGATTCACACAAGAAAATAACACCATAGATTCCGGAGAACTTGATATTGGCCGAAGAGCAATTCAAGAAGTTCCTCCTGGGGTCTTCTGGAGATCACAGCTCTTTATTGATCAGCCGCAGTTTCTCAAATTCAATATCTCTCTTCAGAAGGATGCATTGATTGGAGTGTATGGCCGAAAAGGCTTACCACCTTCCCATACTCAGGTAAAAGCCGCTTTGTTGTCACTGAAATGAAAACTGCTAGTGTGCATTTTTAAAGTTATTCTGTTTCTTAAGTTCAGCTGTTTAACTGTTTGACCACGTTTGTATTGATCTGTTACAGCGAGAAGAATTTCGAATGTAGGGTTACACTTATCTTGAGGTTTTTGAATTAGTGGGAAGAACAGCATTTTCTTCCTGGCTTGCTTGAACCATTATTGATTGATTAAAATGTACTAAAATTTGTGAGCAACTTAATGAATATTGAACATCAGCTCAGCACCTAGTAAAACACCATGGATTTTTCAAGTGTTTTACAAAGATTCTGCGGCTATTTAGGATGATCTTATTCCCTTTGTGTAATAGATGCACAACATTTTCATCTCAGACATGTATTCATTCTATGGGAAACGTATTATATTTTTTTACTTTATGCCAGATTTGCTCTTCGTAAAGAAGTTATTACACTATAAACATAAATCTGATGATATGAACGTAATCAACTCAAGCCGTGATTTCTCATATACAAATGATGAACAATGAAATAAAGAGGCAGAAGAACTTTATAGATAACCAAGGATGATCCCATTACTGTGGTACTCAAAACCATTCAAACATTCTTTCAGCATAGACTCAGTCACTTTAAAGCCAATTTGCTCGCATGAAGATCACTTCACAATAACAGTCACAGATAGACAAGCACTGTCAATAAGTCCACAGGCTTTTTCATAATCTATTGGGACATGGTGTGTAAATGGGAAATTGTGTCTTAAAGACAGTCCCATTATGTCTAAGAGAAATTATTTAAATTACCCACCATAAAATTGGAGCTCAGCCTTTTTCCAAGACCAACTATTATGTTAGTGACTATAGGAATTCCAAAAACGGAATAGATGGTTAATTTAAATTGACAGTTGGATGAACTTAAAGTTATACTCGATGACCAGATTTTTTACCCATGGAATTTCGTGCTGATTTTAATTTGATTTATTAAATGAAGACTGGAAGACTTTTGTATATGCTTTTTATAATGTAATTTTGTGAGAAATATGTTTTCTGTAACAAATTTAAAATAAGAAATTATATGGTCTGGTTGGTGTGGCTCAGTGGTTGAGCATCGACCCAGGCACCAAGAGGTCACCAGTTCGATTCCCGGTCAGGGCACATGCCCAGGTTGTGTACCACATCCCCAGTATGGGGCATGCAGGAGGTGGCCAGTCAATGTTCTCTCTCATCAATGTTTCTATCTCTCTCTCCCTCTCACTTCCTCTCTCTTTAAAATCAATAAAGGGGGGGGGGATTTAAAAATAAATAAAATAAGGAATTATAAAGAAAAATTGATCATATACTAATAAAAATTATATACTTAAATTATATACTTAAAAGAAGGCAAGCAAAACAATTTGAACATGCTTTCTCTAATGTCACTGTGGGTCAGGGAAAATGTCATATACATACATAAATTATACAGTTGTAAAATTATTGAATATCATGCTTTGGTGTATTTTCTGATTTTACATCTTTCAAATCTAGATTATTAAACTAAATATCTTTAATCCTTATACATCAAATACTTCCTATTATATACTAGTGTTCAATTTTAAATTTTAAATTACATTTGACTCCACTTTATGTTATAGGAGACACTAGGATGTAATGACTAGATTTTCGGAAAGGGCCTCTCACTTCCGTTGAAAAAGATAGATTGAATTCATAGCAATATTCCAGTGAAACAGAAAAAAATACATTTTATTCATTGGAACCACATATGTGATTGTTATTTTTGGTAACTCAAGACACATGTCTGTAAGCTAAGAGAACACAACAGTGAACATGTAACCTGTAAACTCCAAAAATAATTTCAGAAAAAAAATGTTCTATGTGTCATGCACTTCAAAGGTTTATTTAAAGATTTAGGGTTGACTCTTTGCAAGGTGTATATACCCTCTACGATTAGAGAAATCAAAGATGCAGTTGCAGTTTCAGATTTTCTCGTAGCTCTTCTGGTGTTTAAACACAATAGATGTGATGTCTACTTTTCTTTTCTACCACCATATATGGGTTTGAGGAGGTTACATTTCCTTAAGCTCCATGGTTATTAGAGTTTCTTTCGCTGGTTTATTCAAGATCAGCAGAGCAAACAACTTTTTCTAAGTTCAGTGTTTAATCATGAAATATGCTATATAGCAGCCCAAATTGAACATTTTTCTGTTTCTCGGGAACATTAAATAAGTCAACCTGAAATAATTAAAATTGGCCAGCCATTCAGAATAGTCACTTGAGTTTTGAAAGTATTTGTGACCCTTTATAAAACTGTCCCCTTTGATGGTTGCCAAGGATTCAAATGACTTCCTTCTCCCTAATGTCTGATTCATTCTCCTGGACAGTGGGGAGCCTAAGGAGGCAGTGACCACCTTCCAGTGAAGAGTGTATTGGATCAATAGGTGCATTTGCATAAAGGCTGTTTTAGAATTTGTGTGTGAAACCTGGATTCTAAGCACACATCTCTACCCACTTCCTGACTCTGTGACCTTGAACAAATCACTTAACTTCTCTGCACCTTAGTGTCTACCTGTAAAATGAAAGAATTAGATCATATGATCTGTAAAATCTCTTCCTCTTCCATATTCCACAGATTTACAGCGAGACTGTGCCATCACCCCCAAAAAAGTTGATTTAAGAACACAGTTAGGTATTCATAGATTCTGAGTTCTCTTCATTTTAATAACTGAATTGAGTTAAGCATATGGATAGCCTGTTCAAAAATGGACCACCAAGATACCTTTATCAAATATAAGTGTTATCTTCATGATAGCTCTCCTGAAGTGGTGACACTGAATTTTGTACCAAAACTAGCATTAGATCTTAAGACTGACCTGCTCAAAAATATTCATGTCTCCATCTTATGAACAGGTACTACAAAGTGAACCTCAGGTCACTCAAGTTGGCCCATAAGTGATTCCTTTATGCCCTAAGAACAAAGGTTATTAAATATTTCTATTCCATGTAGTTTATTTGCTTTTTATGGAGGTGTTTTAACACTGAGTATGGAATTTGTCTTGAGGTAGTTGAATGGCCCTCCTGAAGTCGTGTGTGAAATGCCCCCACAGAAGAGCCCAGGACTGGGTACTCAGAACCCCTCCCCTGCTCCCCACCCCCTCACACCCACCACTGCAGCCTGACCCTATGCATAGTGTGATGCAAATGGCATGATAAAGGGGATGACTGTGAACAAGGCTTTGCAAGACCAGTTAAAACTCGGAATTTTCTCCCTTTCAGTTTTTCATTTATTGTGTTTAATGTTAGCGGACAAGATATTTACATGCAGTAGGGCCACGAAAAGAAAGTCTTTTCTGACTCTGCCACGCTGATACAAATATTTCAGTCTGGTGAGGAAAGAACAGCTCATTTGAGATAGAAGCACCTTTCAAAGGCACTGAATTCATTTGCCTCTGATAATTTTGGAATACAATCCGGTGAAATTTTTGCAGGTCAAAAAGCCACACTAGCTATTCCGTTCATCGTTAAGATATAAATGCCAAAAAAAAATTTTGAATGCTAATTAAGTTACAGCTTTTTTTCTATAGATTTCCTAGTTAAATGACACAGTTTTAGTCCACAGAAAAAGAAAATACTTTTATATTTAAATAAAAGTTTTGATAAGTCAGAAACAGAATTAGATATTCTAAATTCTGTTCAATAAGTAACAGTACAGGTCAGTGATCAGTTCAGTATTTAACTGAATCTCAGAATCCCAACTGATTTTATTCCTATTTGATTTTATTAAGGATTCTTATAAACTTTTAAGAAACTTATCTAACAAGTGTATTAAAACTATGTTGGATGCCTTCCAACTTCACTGCAATATCTCTGGTTATAAAACTTTACCCCCACTGTTACCAATCACATTCCATACAGATTGTCTTTAAATTCTCCAGTTAAATCCTAGCTACCGATGTTCATGATTAATCTTACTAAGACAAAAACTAAGTTCAATGATGATTGACATCATAATAATGAGGCATGCGTATGTTATTGCCATCCCTCAGAAGCTCCCCATTGTTTTTGTTTGTTTGTTTGTGCCTGACTTCTGATGGACGATGTAAAGGCATCTTGATACATGTCTGTAATCTAACCATAACCACGTAAAACCCCTGGGTTTCTCCATGGCCCTCGGGATGGTTGCATCAGGTCACAGAGAGGATCGAGTGTGCGAGAGGACACAGTCTGAGCTTTGAGCAAAGTGCACTTGAGTTCACGTACCCGCCCCACTGCCCGCCAGGTGTGTGACCCTGCCACACTCTTGAAGTTCCGGTGTCCTTCCTCTGTGAAGTGTAAATATGAATGCCTTCCTAGAAGGGTAGCTGGGAGGAGGAGGAGGGATGATCCTGGCACAGAGAAGTACTCCAGAGTAGTTGTTGGGGTACTACATGAGTATTAACTAGAACCCCTTAGCAGGTTCTCGGGTAGGTTCTCTAAGGAAAAGGAGGCTGCTGGGTTTGGACTGTTACAGACCTGTGACTGTATCCCCAGACCTGTGTCTGTATCCCCAAACTGCCCGCACTCATCAAGGTGTTTATATCAGTGGAATTCAGTAAACGTGGAAACCATGGTGCCCCTTTAGGAAAAACATGCACTTTGCCCTAAAGTAGGGAGTTTCAATGCGACAAGGGTGTACAGTAGGTCGTTTTCATCGTCCCTGTCAGTAGTACTACACACAGAACACCTGTCCCCCCAGAACTTCTTTTCTGATATTGGACTTAGAAAAAGTGTGAAGAAAAGAGAGAAGCCATCGCGCCCGTAATACTTGTGACCACTAAGCCGGTCCGCTTGTCCCCCTCCCCAGTACGACTTCGTGGAGCTGCTGGATGGCAGCAGGCTGATCGCCAGAGAGCAGCGGAACCTTCTGGAGTCCGAACGGGCCGGGCGGCAGGCGCGGTCCGTCAGCCTGCACGAGGCCGGCTTCATCCAGTACTTGGACTCGGGAATCTGGCACCTGGCCTTTTACAACGACGGGAAGAACACGGAGCAGGTGTCCTTCAACACCATCGTGATAGGTAAGAGCGGCCCTCGGAGGCTCCTGCCCTGCAGCCTAACCGGTGCCCAGGGGCCCGCAGTGCTCTTCACCCACACCGAGCGGTTCCGAGGGTTCAAGCGGGGTTCAGTTGAGAAGTGTTTTTGCATTGCTCGTTGATGAATGTGTGACAGGCCACACATTGGCCCTGGAACAAAGCGTGGTTTGGAGGGACCCCCGGGCGGTCAGAGCTAGCAGCCGCCTGGGAAGTCCCAGCCCGAGCCGGGGTGACGGAGCAAGGGCTGCGCGGGGTGGCCTGGCACAGTGGGCATCTCTCTCTCCTGCAGAGTCGGTGGTGGAGTGCCCCCGGAATTGCCATGGAAATGGAGAGTGTGTTTCCGGAACGTGCCACTGTTTTCCAGGATTCCTGGGTCCCGATTGTTCAAGAGGTATGCGAGGCACAGTGATTTCCCTTGAGTCCCACGAATGAGCCCCAGCCACGCGAGTGACTCGGGAAAGGACGGAGGCAGGAGCCAGGGGCGGGGGCACCCATCCGGCTGCCAGCGCGCTGGTGACGTGTCGCGTTTCCTTCCGCAGCAGCCTGCCCGGTGCTGTGCAGCGGCAACGGCCAGTACTCCAAGGGCCGCTGCCTGTGCTTCAGCGGCTGGAAGGGCACGGAGTGCGACGTGCCCGCCACGCAGTGCATCGACCCGCAGTGTGGGGGTCGTGGGATTTGCATCATGGGCTCTTGTGCCTGCAACTCAGGGTACAAAGGAGAAAATTGTGAAGAAGGTAAACACGGTCAATATTTATAGAAGGCTATTGTTCTCTTGGTGAAAAGCAGCAGATTAAATTCGTAATCTGCAGTGTGGCAGCCGAGTCCTTTTATTTGCCTCCTTATGAAAGTCATTTTGATTTCCATACCGACGGATGCATTGTTTTCTTCACATGTGAGCTAATAGAAGGGACAAATACCAAAGAGCCCCTTTGCTCTTTTTAAGTAATGCAAATAATTCTTTTTTTTTTTAACTCTGAGAAAGTAAGCAAACATTTGTGTCTTGAAACTGCCAGTAGACTGTTTTTCAGTTTGTTTAAAAAAAAACAAAAACAGATTCTCATATTGAGGCCAGCTTTTAAAGCAGGCATTTTGGCAAAAAGACTGACTACTGAACATAATAAGTAGTAAAAAAAAAAAAAAGTGCATATTTTTGTTCCATACTGTGTATCATAGTGATAATCAAGATACTACAGTGTGAAGTGCCGTTGTATTGTTTTTACAAAAAGCAGAAAAACACCGTTTCTGGTCTTCAATCAAATTGATTTTATTGATCTGCACACACACCGTAATACAATTAAGTCTCTGGAATTAAATTTTCAGGCCATTGACCCTACAAGTGTAAAGTTTTATTGAGTCCAATTGCTAAATTAAATCTCGTCATCTAAAGCACATTAAAGTGAATTAAGAACGATAGAGAGTCTGCAACTCATTTATTTCTCAAACAGTTCGAGGGGCCCATACAGTTGTCAGCACTCAACCGCTGTGGGTTAGGTCAGCCGATTCGGTTTTGTTACAGAGAAGCCAATCCTTGTTACTCCCTGATTAAGCAGAACAGAACAATGGTCTGAAATCTCGAGAGCATACATATGTAACTCATGAAAATTACAGGCCCTCGCAAGAGTCTCGGTCGCCTGAGTGGCATAATTCTTTATGCTTTGTTGTATAATGCTTTGCATGTTCAGAGACAAGGTCTTGAAAATGGTAGGTATCTATTAGAATGTCCAAAATGGTTAGATAAATAAATTAGGTTGGGGTTTTATTCTTTATTCCGCATGTACAGTGTATGCTCCCTTGTAGATTTAATCATCAAATTCTTTGCTCTTTCCACTAGCTGACTGTCTAGACCCTGGCTGTTCTAACCATGGTGTATGCATCCATGGGGAATGTCACTGCAGCCCAGGGTGGGGTGGCAACAACTGTGAAATCCTGAAGACCATGTGTGCGGACCAGTGTTCTGGTCATGGGACATATCTTCAAGAAAGTGGCTCCTGCACGTGTGACCCCAATTGGACCGGCCCAGACTGCTCAGATGGTGAGGTTCATAGTGCAGTACAGTTGAGCGCGTACTATGGTTTAGCTAAAGATTAAGATATTATCATTTTTAAAACACACTTATTACACTTAATATAGATTTCAGATTGTTGCTAGAAATTAATATTGAAAGTAATGAAATGAATATTGAAAGTAATGAAATGAATATTGAAAGTAATTACTTTTAATATTGAAAGTAATGTGTTGTCTTATAAAAAGGAAGGAAACAGGCTTAGCCAATGTGTCATTAAAGTTTCTTCTTCAGTATATTGTAAAGAATAATCTTTCATTTCTGGAAAGCCCTCTGCCTTCTTACCTCTCAAGGCCTGGGTAGAGCGTGGGATCTAAGCCCACGATCTCACACCAGAGACGCCTCCATTGAAAATTATTTGACAACATAGGCTCTACGTGACCACAGTAACGGTTATACACACATAGGTGTTATGATGTTACAGTGGTTCAACACTGAGTGATTATAATGCAGGCACATCTTGGAGATATTGTGGGTTCTGCCAGACCACCGCAATAATGTGAGTATTGCAATGAAGAGAGTCGTAATCATTTTGCTGGTGGAAGATCTTGCCTTCAATTTGTAAAAACTGCAACATCTGTGAAGCACAATAAAATGAGGTATGATTATTATAGAAATGGCAAGTACTAATTTCATTCAATCAGTCGAGTTCTTACTGAGCACTAGCTGTGTGCGTGGCACTGTCACAGGCTCTGTGGGGTGAACGAGCAATGAATCGTCCCTGCCTCTAGAATACTAGCTTTCAGGTGTTTGACCTAAATGATCTGACATACATTTGTACTTGTGTCCTAGTAGACACATCCACACGTATACTCACATAAATGAAACGGAAGCTTTCCAAAGTGGTATACACTGATACTTTTCTACAAGTCTATTTGACTTTTTTAAAATTCTGGTTGCAACCCATGAATGAATGTCATGGCCCACTCATGAGTCACACAGTTTGAAAAGATGCTATTCTAGTCTAGAAAATTAGAGTGTAATTAGGGAGAAAAGAAGAGCACATGTGAAATACTTAGAAACCAGTACATTCCAGTTTAAAAGTTTATTGAGTTGTACATGGAAAAATATGCCAAATTCAGTCAGTTTCCAGAGGAACGACCTGCCTGGGGGCATATTGAGAGTTCTCAAAAAGACTTCTACTCACAGGACTTGCCTTCTTTGAAAGATTCCAGTGAGTGTAGGGGTAGGGAGGGATCCTTTTTGACTCAGGGAAAATATTAGAAAGGACTAAGAGCGTGGACTGTGAAATCAAATGCTCGGGTTCATATCCGGTCTCCACCACTTCGCCGGGTAACCTTAGGCAAATTACTGTATGCTTCAGTTTACTCACCTATGACATGGACTCAGTCACGAGGCATTCTGCACAGAAACGCTGTCAGAATTACTTGAATCAGTCCATGTAAAGTATTACTTAGCTCGTAATAAATTCCAAATGTAGCCACCAGCACCACTTCTATTAGCAAAGGTCCAACAGTGAGAATATCTGTAGACACGGGACAGTGAAGTCAACGTATTTGGAGGGGAAAATTGGGCCGGGCTCAATGATGGGGGATGCAGTTTAGAGATGATGGTGTAGATCTTGGAGAATTTACTAGTAGTAAAGATGTGCACCCACTGGTATGATGAGAGTAGTATCTCAGGACTGTCGTGGAGAGAGAGACAGAGACAATGTCAGCGTACGAACAGGAGACCTAGACGCCCGGGAGACAAGGCAGAGAGCTTTCCCAGAAGACTGCGGTGACGAGCATGAACTCGTGTGCAGTTAGTAGAAACAAAAAGGATAAATCTGAGGGACCTTTTAAAGGAACAGTGGACAGGACTTGCTAAGAAAACAGAGCATAGATATCGAAGAGAAGAGCTGAAGTCTGAAACGAGGGGATCGGTGAATGAAAGTTGGGAAGGGTGAGGCTCATGGCGTCAGCAGGGTACTGTGGCGGCCACGAGGTAAGTGAGAAACAGAGAAGGTGGTGAATTCTGATTGGATGCTCAAACTGAGCAAAAGGAAATAATTGCAAAAAAAGAAGAGGCAGAGGGAAAAGGAGGAAAAAGAAAACTGCAGCAGGAGGAGAAACCGGAAGAAGAGAGAAACTTGGGTTAGAAAGTGTGTGACTGTGAGAGCAGATGACATTCAGGGTAAAGAAGAGTCAGATCATGGATCGGGGCCGGATTGTAGAGGGTCTGGAAGGTCTCACTGAAGAGTTTTCGGAAATCATCGCCAACCAACATTTATCAAGCAAGCACGGTACATGGCAATATTTTAAATAACACACTAACTTGTTTTGTCCTCTGTTCATACACACACACACACACACATACACATATATTTAATATGTTTATACTGGTTTATATTGATTTTAGAGGGAGAGGGAGAGAGAAAGAGAAACATCACGATCTTTTCCCTCCCGCACACACCTCGAACCTGGATCAAACCCACAACCCAGGCATGTGCCCTGACTGGGAATCGAACCAGCGACCTCTCAATGCACAGGCCGATGCTCAACCAACTGAGCCACACCAGCCAGGGCAATTAAAATATATTTTGTGATTACAAGAATCAAAGTGGGCATTTAGTTACTTCTGTTGACTTTTTATTTACATTTCCAGCTTTTATACCAGAAAAGGCATCCCACAAAGATACCCACTTCAAGTTTATAGATATAATCCATCGTGCAGTCAAGTTATCATTTCAGATCCTTTCTGCCTCTATCAGTCAAGTGGGTATAATGATCCTAGCTGTAGAGTAATACCTGTTTGAAATATCACCATTCTAATTTGTCTCCCACAATTGGACAAGTAGGAAAGGAATAAAATAGCCCCTTTGTGGTTTCATGTAAAGTTATTTAACATTACCTGAACTATTTTATAAAGGATAGTTTGCAATTTATATTAAATAACTCAAAAGGCAATTTAGTCTTCTTTATACAATGATATTGTGCCCTGGCTGGTTTGACTCAGTGGTTATACCATTGGTCTGCAGACCAATGAGTCGCGAGTTCGATTCTAGTCAAGGGCATGTACTTTCGTTGTGGTTTGTCCCCAGCCCTGGTAGGGGGAGGCAACCAGTTGATGTGTCTCTCTCATGTCAATGTTTCTCTCTCTCCCCCTCCTTCCCACTCTATCTGAAGATAAATAGAAAAATATCCTCGGGTGAGGCTTAAAAATAAAATGATATTTCTATGAATAGCAAAAAAAAGTTATAAATAAATGTTAATCAAAATATTAAATTGGCTGCCACAGTCACATATCATTATTTCACATTTGTTGACTAATTTTTATGCTGATATAATTATTTTGCTAGTAGAAAATCTAATTTTGCCTATATACAAAATAACTTCACCTTACTCAATGCTATATCTCCAATGCAAAGTAGAAACTTAACATATATTAAACTCTCAATATATAGAGTTGAATGGGGATAGTACTGTTCTTCGGAGGAAAGTAAGTACTGAATAAACTTTGCTATTAGCTGCAAAAAAAAAAAACAAACAGAAAACTTACTTAGAATTATTAGTAAGGATCTCCAATATGCATATATACATCCTGTGAAAATATCTGAATTCATGTGCCTTAAACTTACCTATATGTTGCACAGTCTCACTTAAAGTTCACAAAAACATTGTTTATTTACATTTGTGACTTAAAGTTCACTAGCAGTATAATTGAATTTCTAACTGAATCCTAAAGCAAAACACTTTACCAGCTGCCTCTTCTGCTATTGTGGAAATGACCTTCAGATCTCTGAATTCAATAAGAGTAGATTTTACACCCAAAGAAACATTTGGTTAAGCTGCTGAAAGAGAAGAAATGAATTATTGCCCTCAGAAAGTTTATGGATTTGAAAGCAATAGAACTTTCCTCTATCTCCATCAGCAGTTTGCCCATTAATTAGCCCTTCAATTCCACCTCAATTAAATTAACTCTAATTAATAAGTTCATTACAAAGATCGACGCACCTTGCTCAAAGCTAGTGTGCTAAACGCTGATAAACACCTTCACCCTAATGAAAAATTGATTAGATTGAATGAAAGGGTACCTCAGAAAGAAACCTCTCTTTGGAGCTTACTTGATGTTCCGTTTCCTCTGAAGTTAATCAAACCATCTAAGATCTCTTAATCAAAAATTTAATTCAAAAGAAACAGGAAATGTGGCATGAAAAAACACAGCCCACTCTCTTCCAGTTAATAGTCTGCTGTTGTTTGGAAGAAATGTTACAACTCTTGCGGTGCCTTGATAGGGTGTTTAAAATGCTGCGGCACTTTGAAACAGAGAATGATGGTGTCTGAGAAATGTTGTTTAGGCAATGAGTGGGGAAAATACGAACGTGTGACTCCACAAATAGTGGCCATCTTTTCATTTAAAAATAAGGCTGTAGTCCATTTTCTGAGTGTTCGAAATGATTTCAGGGTTTTAGGGTTCGGCATTTTTATTGCCAGAAAACCAAAACTGAACAATAGTCTTTCGATCGTAGAGAAAAGCGATAGTTAATTTTATTCAACTTTATATGTAGAGAGTAAAAAATAAAATTCCCTTCCAAGTTATCTCTCTGTGTCTCTCCCTCAGTTGGATCTAGTCAAAGGGCTTTTTAAGGGGTGGGGGTGGGGGGGACATTACTTCTGACACCTGAATTCTTTTCAAAGACCCAGCCTAAGATTACAGTTTTTGAAGTCCTTTGCTTTCTCACGTCCCTTTCAGTAATTCTAGTCATTGAAAACCTTGTTTTGGAAACGACACAGTCAGTAGTTATGTGATTAAGCTGGTTTTCCACTATGGGTTTGCTAAGCAGCTTGTATCTGTCAACAACACAAATTTACTGGATAGGAAAAACACAATTTCTTTTATTTAACCAGCACGCCTGTGTTTCAGAGGCAAGCTAATGTGCATACTGTACTAGATTCTCTGTGATGAAAGTGTCTGAATGTTTAGAAATTTTAAACTGTAGGATTAGAAATAGCACCTTTTCAATTCTTGCTGTAGGGGTGAAACCCAACTGCTGTTAGACCCCAAAATGATTCATTAATTTAATATTCATGTGTTCGTAGCTGCCAAAAGATACTCTCAGATACAAGTGTGTGTGTTTTTTCCTCTGGTTATGAATCGTGTTCTGTTTTGTTGGTAGCCCATGTGCAACACACACATGTATACATAGGAAATGATTTATAACAAAATGGCCGTGTGTATTTTATGCACAATTACAGCAGCATATCAAAGTAAGTGATGAACAAAACAAGTGAACTGCCATTTCTATTGTTAGCGGTCGACGCGGAAATTCGGTACATAAATGCTTGCGATTTCTTTCTAGTGATTGCTTTTGGCCTTCAGACCCTGGGTTTGAGGTGTAGCGGCTTGTTCGCTCCCTGCTCACTCGTGCTGCTCTTCTCTCTGCCCGCTGCCCCTTTGCCCTGCAGAAATCTGCTCCGTGGACTGCGGCTCCCACGGCGTCTGCATGGGGGGCACGTGCCGCTGCGAAGAGGGCTGGACCGGCCCAGCCTGCAGCCAGAGAGCCTGCCACCCGCGCTGCGCGGAGCACGGGACCTGCAAGGACGGCAAGTGCGAATGCAGCCAGGGCTGGAACGGAGAGCACTGCACCATCGGTAGGCCGCGCGCTCGGTGCCCCGCGCGGGCTCCTGTTGGCTCCTTTTCCGCCTCGAAAAGCAACCAACCAGACAGACACCACTCCCGGACGCGGGCAGTGTGGGGCCTCCCAGAGGGAAGGGGGAGGGGAGTCAAATATATGGTGATGGGAGGGGTGCCTCGGGAGGTGAACGCACAAAGCCGTGTACAGATGGTGGAGGGTAGACGTGTACACTTGAAACCTTTATGAATGTATTAACCAACGTCACCCCCTTACGTAGAATAACATTTTTAAATTATTTTGAATTGCAACAAGAAAAAAAGGAAAAGCTAATTCTTTCTAGGTGATTTTTACTCATATTTATGGAACAGGCATGGTTTTTTAAGTAAGAGTATCATCTCACAATGGCCATTTAGTTGTTCTTAGAACAACTGCCATGAGTGTGAGTGATAAGAAATCATTGTTTTTTTGTGATGGCCACCAAAATGTATAAACCTAGAGATGATGTCATCGCTTACTGATAAATGAGTTTTCAGTGAACATTACTTTTTTATATTCCTTATTGCCACTGCATAATAAATATTTTTTTTATTTTTATTTTACAAAAAGTCTATGTGGCCTTTGGGGCTCCTGTAGAGTCCAGAATCACACGTCTTTGCACTTGTCAGTATGCCCAGTACCACATCTTCAAGGTAGTCAGTGCCTTCATTTTGCTTTTACCAATTGAGTCACTGAAATGGAAACATTTAATCAAAGAAAATATAACAAAAATAAATACAGTTGACCCTTGAACAAGACGGTTTGAACTGTGCAGGTAAATGATATGTGGATTTTTAAAAAAAAAATAAATCCCTACACTGTGTTTGATCCACGGTTGTGAGTCCGCGAATGCAGGGAGCCAAATATACGCGTTCATCTACACTCTTTTCGAAGGGGACTGAACAGCTTGGTATCTGTGGAGGGTCCTGGAACCAATCCTTCATGGATACTGAGGGATAACTTAAGTTTTTAGAGAGTTAAGCGTTGTTTGAAGATTTTGACTGCGTGGGGGTCAGTACCCCTAAGCCATGTGTTGTTCAGGGGTCAACTGTAACAAAGTTCTACCTCACTGCAGTGGAAGTATACAGTATTAATTACAAATGGCACAGTTCTCCAGAAATTTTGTAATTTGGGGTTTGACATTTCTCTTCATTATTTTATGTCTGTAGGATAAAATTTGCTAAGGCTTTTGGGGGGAATCTTGGTATCTTAAGAGTTTTCTCCTTCCAATGCATCTGTAAGTATTACACACTTTGATTGTTTTGCCTCCAGGAGTTGGTTAGCCAGGAATTTTTTCATGGGGCAATTGTATCTTTCTAAAACATCATGAGGTTGTTTCTAATCTTACTGACACCCCTGACATTTGTTTCAGGGGTCCCACTGCCGGGATCGTGGGACTCCGGGTGCCTCTGCTCACAGCTAGTAGTTACTAGACCGGGACAGGAGCCAGCAGGTGGTGTCAGGAGAAATCCCCGCACGGGCATCCTGTGTCCTTCCTCTGCCCCCAGGAGAGGTCATGTGCAGGGTGTCCGTCTCCATCACCACGTACGCCGTGTTTCTGCCCAGGGATCCCCTTGGAGACGCAGGGTTAAAGGTTTTGGTTGGGGCTGCTCAAAGGGTAGCCTATGTCAGCCACAGCCAACCCACCAAAGTTCCAGACTCTCGGAACAGAAGCAAATGTTAAGGTGGGCAGTCACCTTATCATTGTGAGGAACCCAGCTCTCCAGGTGCCAGCCACGGGCCAGCCCTGCAGACTTCTAAAGACAGGGCTTGTTGTGTTACCTCTTACCTGTGACACATCCTTAGGCCTCCCTTGTCGAACGCAAGCTCACTGCCTAAACCTGGAGACACGTGTCGTTGTGATGAGGTCCCCGGGCAGTGCTCACGTGCACAGCACTTGTTTGCAGGGTGCTCATCCGAGGACTGTGTGGCTTTCCCCTCCTCTGTCTCATAGGGCAGGGCTTCCTGGTCACGGGATCTACATTACGGCAGAGGAAAGTTGACGACCACAGTTTGTGTCTCTTCCTGTGGACGTACAGAGGACAACGCCATACCCCTGTGACCAAACAGCTCCATGTCCAAAGCCCAGAATGGCCGTATATAGAGGGCAGGGAAAGGGGCTCTGCTCGTGCTCCCTCGTATTTCATGACCCCACCCCCTCCACACCCAGGCAGCAGTGAATTGACTCTAGCTGGGGAATGGTACATATTGGACTGCATGTACGTGTCCGGGGAAGTACAACAAACATGTGTATCTAGCTTAGAAAACCAGGAAGTGTACCATAAAGTTAATAGGCAGATTTAACTTGCCAAGCAATAGTCATTAAATGCTACCCTTGTTCTCCCTGACCTTGGCAATATTGCGTGGTGAGCTCGCCACTGAGCTGTTCTTGAACAACTTTGCAGTTGTCTGGCAACAAACGGGATTTCGTTATAATTTAACGTGTCTTGCTGCGGTACTTAAAATTCCATTTCTACTGTTTATTTCATTTTGCTGCTCTTTTGTAGTCCATATAAATAACAATGTGGAAATAAAGGGCCTGCTTTCTTTAAAAATAAATCCTAGAAGTGACCCTTTTAAAAGCTGTAGAGAACCTTTGGGTCACGGTTTCTGCTCTTTTGTGCTGTTAGAACCATTGCTCCAGATTCCGGCCTACAAAGACCCCATTGGTTTCCCCCGTCTACTTACTACCTGCGTGTCTGTCCACAGTGACACCTCAGGCCGTGGCCCGCGGCCTGTGTGCGGCTGATTAAACATCCCCGGCAGCGGCAGCGTGTCTTCTCCTTCCGGAGAGCACCCTCGCTGTGTCCGCTCTGTTCCCACACGCAGGCGTCTGGCTGGCAGAAGCTGCCACTTTATGAGAGAGTCCTCATAAATCAGCGAGATTTTTTTTTTTTTCTTTTTCCATATTATGTGCCATCTCATTGACTACAAACAGGGAGGTTAATTGAAAGCGAGATAAAGGAGAAATTAAACAGTTAGAAGCAAACAGAAGTTCCCAATAGAAAGCAAAGAATGTTCTTCATTAGGTGTCTTAACCGTCCTCATAGCTGTTCATGCTTTTCGTAGAACCGGAGGCACTTGGATGGTAAAATCGGTTCAGAATTTAGAGTGTTCACTGAACGCACTGTGTACTGGAAGAGTTCCATCCTGATGTTTTATTTGCGTGTTCATATTGTCCTCTCATTATGAGTCACCTGTTCAGGAAATTAGGGGCCTTCACCCTCAGACTCATTGTCCCAAGTTCTTCCTCTTTCCTGGGTTAGGCTTGACCGGTGATGTGTGCTAATGGGAAATGAAACACAGGGAAACCTACTTTCAGCAACAGTACAGTGACAATAACTGTTTCTCCCTTCCTCCCCCAATAAAAACGTTCATGATGACTGGACCCTTTCATGAAAAAAGAGAAGTTACGTAATTGAACCACATCAAAAAAGCACCAGCAATTATTACTGACATAGTTTAATAGTTATAGCCCTGTTATTGATGCTCAACTACCACATAATATCATAAGTGGTTTATAAATAATAGTGGATATACTTGAAATAGTATATGGCTGTCTTTACAGTTAAAAAGCTTAAGCAGTTCTGTCTTCTGAGAGTTGAGGTGCATCAGGGTCGAAGACGGGAACCGGGCGCTACTGCCTTGGCCCGGCTCAGAAAGTTCGCCGTTAACGTGCTGACCTGGAACCAGAATCGATCATCGTGTCGAGGCATCTCGGCTGGGCTGTCTTTCCGGCTTGCTTCGGAAAAGGGGGGATTGCTGTCCGATGGGCCGTTGCTGGTGCTGATTGACCGTATCCGCAAGGCACACGGCAAGCCACCCGGCCGAACAGATGTGTACAGGCAGAACCCATCCTAACTTCTGAGTGAGATGCTCACTGGACGTCCTGGGCAATGATAAATCCCACGTGCCACCTTTTGCGTGTTACTAACCTGTAGCCTCCCCGAGAAATATTCTTTTTGGCAGTCGCTGAAAACATTTGCCCCTACCCCATCCATTTGCGCTTTGGGGGCCATAGGTGAGGGGCCAGAGGGCGAGACTGAGCTACACATTCGACTGTCACCACCTACCAGGGATGGTTGTTAGGAAGGTAGAGAAACTCACATCTCTGTGGAGGGAGAAATGGTCTTCTAGAGGCTGCCTGGCATGTTCCATTTCCCCGCAGACAAAAATGGAGAAAAAGGGTTTAAATGTTTAAATGTTCATTAAACAGAATGAAGAACTGTAGGTTGGAAAACATTTAAATCCTGGGTCAAGATCCCAAGGAAATGCTTGCATCTCTACTCCAATAAGCTTTAGCAGTAGCATCATTATTTAGGTGTGAAACGGGGTTCTGTCTTTTCTTTTTGTCAGTCTGTGGAGTGTTTGTAGGAGGGAAGTGTTTTGTTTTGTTTTTTTAATTCTTTCCATCTTAAGTCTCTTGAGTAGTGTCCCTGTCTGGAGAACCCCTGGAGGTCTCTTCCAATTTTAGAATTTATTGATCACATTTGCTTTCTTTGGGAAATCATGAGGTTTAAGCATGGGGTCCCTTTGTTACCCTCAATTTCATTCAACTTTTATTTTGATTTTTACTATGGCATTTGCATGCCTCAGGTACTTTTCATTGGCTAATCTGTTCATTTCTTTATCCATTAAACCATTATTGATTATTTCATCTGTGATGTTGAATACTACTTCTTATGAAGGTCAGTGTAACATACAGGAAGAAAAAGCTTGGGGTTTGAAATTTAAAAGAAAAATATGTTTTCAAATCAGTTTTGTGATTTATTCACTATAACTTGTGTCTGAACTGTTTTAACCTCAGGTTTTTTTCCAAATGTAAAATGGCTGTAATTATATCTGTCGCGTGTGATTTTTTTTAAATAGAATATGCTACTGTTTAAGAGCTTTTGGAATTTTATTCCTTGCAGAACTATTTATACAGCGCATGACCTTGGAAGTCATTTAATCTCTGCATATGTTTCCTCATATATGATT